ATGAAACAATCTTCATATTTTTGGAGGAAATAAAGATAATCTATCTATCTCATACATACATACATACATACATACATACATACATACATACATACATACATACATACATACATACATACATACATACATACATACATACATACATACATACATACATACATACATACATACATACATACATACAAAAGAACGAACTGTGATATAAACTATATATTTATTTCCTTTAAGCCTTGGGTAAGTCTAGGATACCATAGGCGTGTCGACAACCACTCACACGTAGCCTGATTCTATGTAATTAAACCAGGCACGCATTTGTAATGTTAATTGTCAGCCCGGTTGTAGAACAGGTATATCCATGGACTTAGGACACGTTTATCCACTTTACAATAGTGTTGCATTTACGATTAACGTGTGTCTGGACAAAGTAAACTAGGCGATAGACGAACAGGGGGTTCAGACCCGAAAAGGCTTTTATCATGTAACAGTCGCTTCCCTGTACGCCAATCTCTGAGAAATACCTAGACTATCGCTTAGTGTCTGAATACTTACTGAGAGAAACAAATACAGGAACACAGGAAAATTCAAGTGTTCCATTAATATTTTCCAGTTTTCATCACCAGCTTTGAATAGCGCTATGGGGGGTAATCTGAGAATAAATAAAGGAACACTATCATGAAGTGGTGTTCCGTTATTTGTTTCCTTCAGTATATATAATTTTGGAGCGGCATTGACATAAGCATGTTGTATGATTGTTTGCCAGTCCCGTCATGTTTAAATGAATAAATATGTTTAAACCATATAATTTTGCCAGAAACAAATAATTCCTTTTAAATTGAAAAGGAACACCATTGAGATGGGAGATTAAGATCCTGAACCTGAGGGAATCTGGACTTGCATCATTTAGGGCTCAGTATTGGAGATAAGGCTGGGGAAAATAATGTGGTTCAGGGACTTTGAGACAGACTAAGAAATACCCTACTGTTCAAAACAATGTCAACTCGATCGTAATCGAATGACCATTTGTTGTGAACATTTAGGTATATGGAGGCATCGCCTTACGTTGCTAGTATAGCATGTAGCGGGCAGAGATAGTGAGTGAGTGAGTGAGTTTAGTTTTACGCCGCACTCAGCAATATTCCAGCTATATGGCGGCGGTCTGTAAATAATCGAGTCTGGACCAGACAATCCAGTGATCAACACCATGAGCATTGATCTGCGCAATTGGGAACCGATGACATGTATCAACCAAGTCAGCGAGCCTGACCACCCGATCCTGTTAGTCGCCTCTTACTACAAGCATGGGTTACTGAAGATCAATATTCTAAACCGGACCTTCACGGGTCAGAGCACATTAGAGAGACTACAGAAACCTGTCTGTCCATGTTAACATGTCTGCAACACCTGACACTGTAATGAATGTTTGCATTTTTAACATTTGCAATGTGTTATTACCACTTCGTCCTGTACGTTGTAATGCCATGATGTATGGTGAATAAAATACACATAGAAAATAGGTATAGCTATTTTTTTTATGCTGACAATAATATGAAACTCGACAGTGCAGCCGGCACTACATATATCGATGATAAACACAAAATATTGATAATGTGGATCCTCCAGAGTACAACAGTAAGTTTAGACTACAAAACCCATCTGACCATTTGAGTGCGGCGTTAAACAACAATATAAAACAATCATACCTGGAATGTATTATTTCAGTTTCAGAATGAAAATAACCACACACCCCAACCTAAAAATATGAATTAAATTAACTTTGTAGAATGCCACAGGTTCTCTTATACTGCCTCCGTATGTTTTCGTTCAACGCCTATAGCCGTTATTCGCTGTGCGGTTTTATGGCTGTGGGCGAAATGATCCGCCGGTGGGATGACAGGATATCTGTCTCCAAAGAAACGCTCGCGGCAATATGTAAGGAAAGCGTTATTGTTGCAGTCGTTAATTACCTAATAAAATACAACACAGCAAAATACAAGATAACATACATTAACACGTGTGGATGGGAAAAGATGTAACAGGTAATTGTTATATTGCCCATCACAAAGGGAAAACAACATATCCTGAAGATGACCACTGTTGTTTCATGGGAAATGTGAATTGATGCGTGTCGGGAGCCAGCAAGAGTGACAGGCTCATAGATAACCTTATCTAATCTAAAAACATCTATCTAAAAAAACATCAAGAAAATGTAATAATAAAGTCCCTAACAAGTCTTAATTTCGGGATAGTACGTCGGCAGTCTAGACTTTCCCAGTCATGTTGACTTAAACTGAGTTCCTTTTTAAAAATATTTCCTATGGGTGAGTGAGTGAGTTTAGTTTTACGCCGCACTCAGCAATATTCCAGCTATATGGCGGCGGTCTGCGAATAATAGAGTCTCGACCAGACAATCCAGTGATCAACAGCATGAGCATCGATCTGCGCAATTGGGTGTTTCCTATGGTCTTGGAATACATGCATTGTGGGGTATCAAGCAATACTTCAGTATAAACTTCAGTTTCTTTGTTTGCTTTCATAACCCCGCATTCGGCAAAATTCCAGCTATATGACGGCGGCCAGTAAGCACTCGAGTCTAGATCAGACATTCCAGCTATTCAGGGTTTGGTCAGTGATCGTGAGCGTCGTCCTTCACAATTGGTATACGGTGACATGTGTTTATCAACTCAGCGAGTCTGACCCCCTATCTCGCTAGTCGCATCTTACGACAAGCATGGCTTTGTTGAAGATCAGTTGAAGATCTTCATGGGGCCATGCAGAAAGTAAACACCTTGTCCGGTTCATATGGCAACGTTCAGCGTTGCATGTTTATATATGGAGTCGCACTATCTGTAGTTAGAGAAGAAAGGGGGCCTTTTCGGATAGATCCGGGCTGACAAGCAACGTCTTTAACGATACATCGACCAATTGTTGACGTCGACGATCACCCATACATCGTTCTACTTTCTGTATATGAAACAAAATTTTGCTATAATGTATTTGAATTTTGTAGTGGAACAGAGAACATATATATTAGCCATGCATTTGGTATGGGACAATGTTATTTTTCGACGAACTTTCACTTCCTACTCTGTCCTTGTCTATCTCACATTCCCTGAACCACATTGTTTTTTCCTACAGCCTAACCTTCCCTGCAACTCTAAAGCCCTAAATGAAGCAAGTCTAGATTTCCTCAGGTTCTGGCTGAATATACCCTCTCTCACTCGGGCTCCTTTTCAATTTAAATGGGTTTATTTGTCACTATCAAATTTATATACATTCATAGACTAAGCGTTAGTCTAACCCCGTCCCCCCCATTTCCTTCCCAAGAGGTTTTTCTCCACACATGGGACGAGGGAATCAAGTTAATATCTCGCAGTGGATCTAATTACATGGGGGAGAAAGTAAATAAGCGCCTTCGGAAGTGAGGAGTTAATGTTGCGTAATAGATAGAGCTTTATGACCCTTTTTAGTGCGGAATTTCGGTAGCATCAGTTCTGAGGGGGTCCACAGCAAACAGAAGGGCGGGTGTTCTGCCCTTTGTGTAACGTTATCGCGTGCAATAGCCAACGGTCGTGTCGGGTTTCACTGAATTACGTAACCTTGATTTGAAAACTTGACCGTCTTTGTCTTCTCGCCCTTGTCACGTTTCCTCCCGCGAAAACCCCGGTGACACATACATGTTGTCATCAGCTTCATGTTAAAGATTAGGATTTAAACAATACGTGTTGAAAATGTATGATACATATTTCCCGAGACCTTTCATCCCTTCTTTTCAAAAGAAAACATACATAGTTTCAACAGAGACCGATGCAAAAGACGAAAAAGAAGACGAAATTATGAAATTACGCCCACTCCAGACATCTTCCAAACGTTACAATGCAATTGCATTGATGAAAATTATGATGATGATGATGAAGATGATGATGATGATGGTGACGATGATGATGATGCATCAATTAGGATGACCTGTAAATAATTCATAATAGCAAAAAAAAAATAATGAAGCTTAATGTATGTGTTCGTGCGTGCGTGTGTGCGTGCGTGTGTGCGTGTGTGCGTGTGACCTGTGTTTGCTCTGAACTGTTGTTGCACTAGTCATTTAAAGAAAACTGTTTTATATGTATATTTTATTCACCATACATCATGGCATTACAACGCACAGAATGAAGTGGTAATAACACATTGCAAATGTTAAAAATGCAAACATTCATTACAGTGCCAAGTGTTATGTTAACATGGACAGACAGGTTTCTGTAGTCTCTCTAATGTGCTCTGGACGATCCACAGTGCTAATCTTTTGTGTTTATCATCGATGCAATGACGGCTGCGCAGTCGAGGTTCATATCATTGTCAGCATCGGAAATTTTGATGTTTGTTTGTCGCTCATGGTGGTAGGCAGGAACGCTCTCCTTATAACCTTTGTGCGTTGTTTAACGCCATACTCAACAATATTCCAGCTATATAGCGGTTTGTAAATAGTCGAGTCTGGACCAGACCATCCAGTGATCGACAGTATGAGCATCGATCTGACAAATGGGATGCGATGAGATGTGTCAACCAAGTCAGCGAGCCTGACCTCTCTATCCTGTCAGTCGCATATTACGAGAAGCATGGGTTGCTGAAGATCAATTCTGATCCGGAACTTCACAGGTTTCTTATGGCCTACTGCGTGATGTAGATGTGAAATACTACGCCTCCCAAATATTAAAATCCCTTACTTTTCAGTTTCGTATAAGCCTTTTAAAGACCCAACGAACACATGATCGAATGCAATAAATCATAAACGTTAAAAAAACAAAAAACACTGACCGTATGTAAATGACTTCCCTATTACGATAACCGCTAATCTTAACAAACTTTTAAAAACAACGATAATCGTGTTTTTATTCGTACATTTTTAAATTGTATTTTAATGCAATAGGCCGGGAAGGTCATATGTTCATTTTGGAAACAACATGAATCGCCCATGTGAGAACCATTTCTCACGGGGAGCTCTCTCCATCGACACCGGAATTCAAGGCGCTTAAAGAGATGCGCAACCTCGCCTGAATCAGTATCTAGCAACAGGTTCACTAGGAAGACAAGGTATTCTATCTCCAGCAACACAATGCAGTCCATCATGGCTCTCGGTCTTTCAGCTCTCTGTGTGGTGCTTTACTGTAAGTATTTTCTGCTTTTACCCGCAACTTGAATTTAAAAACATATACAGCTTCAGAAACATGTTTAAATAACACACGTCTGATTAACGATACAGGGTCGCCGCTCTTCCCGCATAGGGCGTCAGCCATGCATCTGAGACTCCGGTTGGTTCAAACGACCGATCAGAATTTGGCAGAAGTGCATACCTGTATAATACAATTTGTTTAAAAAACCAAATCGAATATTTTTAAATAGCTCAATATTATTCATGTGAGGAAACAGACTACTCTCTTGTTAATGCACAGAGCGAAGTTTATGTACATTCTTACACTGTTTTCAAGCATAAAAGTGATAACGGTGTGAGAATCTACACCGAAACGAGGCTCTATGCAATAAACAAGTTGTAAATCCATAAAGTTGTAAGCGTTATTATTGACTCACCAACTTCAAGAATGCCCATCAAACAATGAATAAAAAGAGTTTGAAATTTAACATACAACCTTTTTGCGTACTAGATTGTGTGTATTTCGTCTTATGAAAATCAGGTTAATGCGTCATACGTTAAAGTAATAATGACATCCCAAACCAATCTCTATAACCAGCATCGTTATTTCTACCGTTCTCGTCAAGATTTGTGAACAGTCCGATCAAACCTTGATGGAAGCACAAACTACAAGTACAGTTGTGGAGATTTTAAACCATTTGTTGTGTACTGGTCTGCGTCAAGGCGCTGCCTTCTGCCGGCCTCTGTTGACATTGTACATAAACTGAACCTATGTTGCTTTGGACTCAGTCATTACATACACGTGACGTCACCGCTTAAGAATTGCGACTACATCAGCTGTTTACACATAATTGACCTCAATTCACGCAGTGCATGGCTAGGATTCTTGCAAGGTTTTATCTAGATTAACAACTAGTCTCTGTAATGAACATATTTTATAGAAAAAACAGTTCATAGTTTTAAAAAAATAAAATATAATGAGGAGCCCTGAGACTTCATTTTCAGACCTGAAAGTGTGGAAATCTAGACTTGCCATATATTCTAGACTTGCATGGGCTATCTCGGATATATTTGTTTCAGGGTCTGTATGACAGACTATCGGTGTTATCCTAAAATGCCAGTGCAAACAAGCCGTCCTTGTCCGTTTCTTTCATCCCCAGCTGGTGTCCATTCTCTCATTATATTTTCTACTCTAAGTTTAAATTATTTCACAATAAATAATATGTTTCGTTTTTGCAGCACATTTGTATTATTATGCATTCACTATGCATTTATTTATCCTCTTACACAAACATTATTTTGAGTCGAGACAAGGCATTTTTGTTAAGGGCTCTATTTGAATATACTGTTTGTAAGTATTCTTATCAATAATTTTAATCTGTTTCTGACTCGTGACACAATGGAAAGTGTCACAGTGTAAACTGAAGACGGCCTTGCTTGGAGGAATGTTCCCGATCCACTTGACTTTCTTACGAACACAAGTGTTTCAACGTATGCTACATTCCCGCATATTCATCGCCCAAAGCGCTCTTCGTTTTATGGATTTAGCTTAAAGGTCACATGCAACCAAAATATCAAACATAATTAAAACACAATTATCACTTATTCATGACATATACTATACATTGCTGGTTATGAAGAAACATAAAAACAAAATTATAAGCGTACAATCGCAAATCAAAAGTGTAATATTTTGTACTTGGGTTTACTTCCCAAGAAACGAAGCAGCCGGGATACCGAAACCCAGTCAGAGCGGGTGGGTGTGCACTCAAGTGTAACGGCTGGTTCATTTGCAGATGCCGCCCTCACAGCTCATTGTGTGTGTATATATAGAGATGTTGGGTTTTGTAAATACATGCTCATTTTTTGTGTATAACATTTTGCAATCAACAGACATCATAACATGTCATGTGTACAAGTATCACACCTGCCTGTCTGTGTAATTACATAATGTGACAGAGACCGAACCTGGGCCATAACTCAATGCGTTTTGTTTATGGTGTATAGCCTGATAGGTGTTAAGTTCAAATTGCATGTGGTCAGTGATTGAAATTGTGTATTGAATATGCGATTAAGCATTGCACAAACTATACGAGATCGAAGATGACAGTAATCTCATTGTCTTTTATGGAGATAATACACTGAATATAATAAAAAAATAATATAAATTAACCTTCAGTACTAAGAGCCTAACCCAAACGATACCATAAGTCATTATTTTGTTTTAGTAGGTCCAACGGTAGCAATAAAAAAGTTTTTCATTTTTTAAGAAACTGATAAGGGTCTTATCGGAAAAAACCCGAAACGATCAAGAGAACGTAACACCGTTATATCTCCCCAACAAGAAGACTCCGATTCCAGCTTGAATTCCAAGAATGTTCCTCATTTAGCCTGGGGACGTGTTTGGCTAGATATGTGCGCGCACTCACGCGGAAAAGATTATCCTATCTCGATAGTAAACAGGAAATGTATCAGTGAGTCAGCGCTCTATCCCCGGGGCTTGACGCAGCGACAACAGCATCATTAATTACATGAACACTTGGAACACAGGCTTACGACTAAGGCAGCTTTGTGGAACGACCCCGTTGACTTTTACCCCTACGGTCTCCCAAGGTCAACCAATATATACTGGTGTGTGTGTGTGTGTGTGTGTGTGTGTGTGTGTGTGTGTGTGTGTGTGTGTGTGTGTGTGTGTGTGTGTGTGTGTGTGTGTGTGTGTGTGTGTGTGTGTGTGTGTGTGTGTGTGTGTGTGTGTGTGTGTGTGTGTGTGTGTTAGTCCGTCAGTCCGTCTCACAGTCCCTGAACCATATTATTTTCCCTATTTCCTTGCCCTCCCTGCAATGTTTCAGTTCTAAATGAAGCAAGTCTAGATTTCCCCAGGTCCTGAATCTCCGAACTCACCGGGGCTCCTTTTCAATTTATATATATATATATATTTATATATATTCAGGGACTAAGCAATAGTCTAGGGAGCTGTGTGCGCGTATGTGTGTGTTGAGGTGGGTAATTCGTTCATTCATTCATTCATTCATTCATTCATTCATTCTTGCGCAGATCGATGCTCATGCTGTTGATCACTGGATTGTCTGGTCCAAACTAGATTGTTTACAGACCCCCGCCATATAGCTGGAATATTGCTGAGTGCGGCGTAAAACTAAACTCATTCATTCATTCATTGTAAAACATGCTCATGTATTGTTCTTCGCTGCATTCCCCACTCCCCAATTGTTGGTCCTACCGAACAACCGGAAAAGTGATTATCATGTAGAGGGGTTAATTTTATAGCACGGCAGCGTAATTGCAACGTTTGTGCAATTATCTTATATCTTTGGTTCGTGTTTAGTAGACAGCTATTGATTGGTTTGTGTTAATGTCTACAAGTGAGGGGCTCTGACGGATTGACGATTTCATTGATGGGAAAGTTACTTTAGATACTACACCATTTTTGTTGGAGCTAGATCGACAATACAGTTGACTGATTGGCGTATGATTGTGTTATTTTCATCCATTTAATTCCAGTTCAAGATCTATTAATAAGTGGGGCGGTGGGGTAGCCTAGTGGTTAAGGCGTTCGCTCGTCACGCCGAAGACCCGGGTTCAAATCCCCACATGGGCACAATTTGTTCAGCCCATTTCTGGTGTCCCCCGCCGTTATATTGCTGGAATATAGCTAAGAGCTGCATAAAACCAAACTTACTCACTCCCTACGGGTCAAACTCCACAAAAATAATCTTGCATCTTTTCACGTGGAATAGCAATTAATCAAATCGTTCAAAAACATTAACAACCCGTCACCAACCAACCCACCTAACGCCTCCATAATAATAATGATATAATGATAATAAATAGATACATGATTCATAACTGTCAAAGACATTAAATTCAGGCGATGGTGATTAAAACGAAAAACACAAACTTTTACACTTAAATTCCACAAAAAATTGACAGGATTGCGGTTTTGATGTAGAAAGAGATAAAAATATGTATATTTACTTAACACCTGTGTACACAGGCAAGTAGCTATGGTCAACTTTAACGTCTCTCCCACAGTGACAGCATCCTTCGTCAGTGTACTCAGGGCCCTTGCCAATTTATCGAAAAGCTGTCGATGTGGAGGAGCCCTCGTTACCGGTTGGTTGCCTTGGTAACCAAGGTAATGTTGGAAAAGCGCTGGAGCCTCTACCGAGTGCACCATGACTGTTTCGATGGGAATACCGATCTTGATAATTATCACTATTTTATCCGTGTTTACGAAGGAAGGTAGCAGTATATTAGCATCTATTTATACCTAGCTAGCTTTGAAAACAGCCATGCATGCGCATGGTCGATGGTTACTTGTGATATACTATCCCTGTACCCTTAGTACAGCGGGAGATTATAGCAAATATGTTTGGTATTAGAGTCAAGAAATAGGTCAAAGTATTAATTTCTAGCATGCAGTCACGAAAGTAGAACCTAAAGGATCAAAGAATGTATTTGGAACCTAGGGAGGGGGCCGGAGTGGGCTCTTTCCTTTTCTTCAACGACAACTGGGTCTTGAAATCTCCCTTACCCCATAAGTGAATGGTTTGTCCCATATATTTACTGATCTCAGAACCGTTGGGAAGTATTCTTGGGGGCGTAGCTACCATTATAAAAAATGCCCGGGCTTACACATGCTTGTTGCTAAAACGGATGGGCAAGCCCCCAATACTATCAAAATGTAAAGCTTTGCAAGCTATCGGGCTTACACGAAAATATTGGCTTGATACGCGCCTGATTCTTGCCTAATGGCATCGGTTATAAAACTGATGCGTGACGGTGATGGTGATGGTGATGATGATGATGATGATGATTACCTAGCATCATCCGATGTAGTATTTAATGATAATCACGTTAAACTCAGCATCCCAGCAAAACCATTCTGCTCTTTGGATAATTGATCTAACGACAAGATGATTGACGATAATTACCGTGCTGAAATTGATTACTCTGAACGAATGATGGGAGTCACGACAGATGTATTCTAGCGTGTGA